TAAATTAGGACGGTCCCCCCCCCCCCCAGTGGTTTAACGGTGAGTTTGAAGGTTTATAACGCTAAAAATCGATTTTCGATACCAGTGGTAGGCATAACACAGATAGCTCATTGTGTATTGTTTGTTTGTTCGTTTTGAATTTCGCGCAAAGCTACACGAGGGCTATCTGCGCTAGCCGTCCCTAATTTAGCAGTGTAAGACAAGATGGAAGGCAGCTAGTCATCACCACCCACCGCCAACACTTGGGCTACTCTTTTACCAACAAATAGTGGGATTGACCGTCACATTATAACGCCCCCACGGCTGAACGGGCGAACATGTTTGGTGTGACGGGGATTCGAACCCGCAGATTGCGAGTCGAGTGCCCTAACCACCTGGCCATGCCGGGCCCGCTCATTGTGTAACTTTGAACTTAACTACAAACAGACAAATTCTCTCTTTGTATATATATATATTACTCTCTTCCTTCTATTCCTGTTTGGTGATTTTGATATTTTGTTGAGCTTTAATAATTCCCATCATTAATGTCATATTTTCCTTGATAAAGTAAGTAGTGTAACAAATGCAAGCGATTATTTTTTGTTTTGTAATGAGTTACAAGTGTTAAGTGTATTGTTGCGTCATCGAGATCACGTGACTATTCTTACGCCCTCTATTTTCTAGAACTATCCTGTACTTTGGCAAATGCTCTAGCATTTACTAGATATAGGGTAGTCTGGTATATAAAAGAGGGTGACAACGTGACGGTAATGTAATGTGTGTGTGAAGATAGTGAGTAATTGAACTGCAGTCAGAAGTATTATTGACGTTCGTTGATATAGCGTTTGTTTTAGCGCGATTGTTGAAAATAAGTGTATCGTAAAGTTGTATTCGGAAAGAATAAACCAGTTTTATTAAGTAATGAACTTGTGTCGCTAAAGTTTCGTCGGAACGAAGTTACGGAAAGTTAATTAACAAACGGAGACGTAACAGTATGTTAAAAATATACAATTGTTAAGATTTCAAAGCGTCATTAGAGTTATTAATATTGTAAATTAACACTCTTTATACATAAAAGTGGTTTAATAATTACTTATTTACTCATTCTCAAAACTCTGGAATCGACGACCAACAGGAGAGGTGAAGGAGCGGAAGTAAGAATTAGAAGTTTACTTCATCCTTATAACGCATGCGTAAAACTTACATAATGATGGTACACAGATGGAAAAGTCTCAAAGTTCTTCTTCGATACAATATTATAATCAATAAAAAAAATAATCTTTGACAAAGAGCGTTGAAACACACTCTTCTCACAACAAAAAAAGCTTCTTTCTGGCACGTGCTTCCTAATTCCAGGCATAGAGCAAGTTACAACAGGTGCGATCTTTCTACCTTAGCGTTTGCTATATGGCAGTGTAAAAGTCGTCTACAGAAAGTGGAAACATTTATATCACAAAGACAACTTATAAAATTTCGCTTTGTGTACACCAGAAATAGGCTTCTTTCCAACTTCACTTATCTCTGGTTTCTAAAACCTAACTATTAAGCCTACATTTCTTCACAAAAATGTAATCACTACGGGTTAAAAAAATCACACATGCAAACTGTAAGTCGTTTGAAGAGAAAACCTTTTGTTATACTTACAAATCTGGTTCGAATGAAATGCTGTCTAGACGTTCAAGGTTTGATAGAAGTAAACTAGGCCTGAAAAGTTAGGTTTGTTTTTGTTTCCCTTGTGTCCTAAACCAGAGTAATAAGTCGTTCTCTGGCAGAGGTGTGGTGTAATATGGCACGAATTCCATTCAACTACAGACTGTACTTCACGCGTAACACATGTTGTGCATTCCACAGATTCCATTCACCAGGTGCACTTCGCTTCTTGTTACCTAAACATTGTAGCTGTTGCTATGGTCACAAAGCTTCTAACATTCAATGCAAGATGGGTAGACACAACGCGTGGGGAAAAGAAAAAAAAACTAACAAAAATTACTTGTATTCTTAATTAATTCAAATAGACTTTACATTTTATAGACAAAAAACGCTTATTAAAGTCCTGAGCTATTTAAAACTATTAAATTACAAAAAAAAACAGTTGCATGTTTAGCTGATCAATCATACATAAAAAAAAGGTTAAACCAAAGACTTTTAGATTGCATCTAAGCAGTAAGATATGCATAAGAAAAAAGGCTTTATTTGGCTTCATGCGCTAAACGCTTTGGGTGTTTATACAACCCATGTTTAGCTCGTTTTAATGATTCTATTGCTCTCTTACAGACACTTTGTAAACCCCGTAGAAAGGTACTTAATAATGACATATTTTTTGTATATTTGCATCGATTTATACATATTGTTTGGTTTTAATCACAAAATTAACATCTTATCACTCAGTGCCTGACTTGTAAAAAATTAACACGCGGATCGGTCGGGTTTAATTTCCAATTTGCGAACAGAAGTCTCATGCTGCACAAATTTGCTTAAGTAGTCTTGTTTTGAATTCCGCGCAAAGCTACACGAGGGCTATCTGCGCTAGCCGTCCCTAATTTAGCAGTGCAAGACTAGAGCTAGTCATCACCACCCACCGTCATATTTTTGTGCGCAATATCAAGTATGTGGCGCGCGTATACCCAATTCTATTTTATTACTCATTATTTTATTAAAGTTAATTTGTGAATACGTTTTTAGTGTATAAACTTTAATAGGATACATAATAAGTGCACGAGCCGGATAACCCCAGATGTGATGCATAAACTAGGCCACACTAGTATAAAAGTACTTAAATATAATTTTATTTTCCATTACTATAGTTGATCTATGTTTGTGATATTACGTTACTTCTGAGAACATACGAGTGAAAGTGTAGACGGTATAACAGTATGTTAAACATACAATAACTGTTATATCCAGTAACAACGAGGTCTTTCGCCTAATACCAGGGCTCTTGAATTTCTGATCTCACCCTTCCCCAACGTTCTACAAATTGTACGTGCAAGTCTTATTTAGTAGGAACACACACACACACACACACAAAGAATATTGACGAAGTGACATTACATTCAGCAAATAATTTTATCTTACTGATTTGTTGTAGAATTATTAAATGTCAGTTTGACCCATCAAAGAATGATAATGGTTATATGTATGAAAAGAAAACACACCATTCTACAATTTTCCTTTTTTAAATAGTTTATTGTTTGAACAATTGTAGAAATATTATTGTACATTTATTGTTAAGAGCTTTTTCTTTTTTCTCTGGATCAATTTTTTTCACATACTTTTATAAACAAAAGGCACATGAATCACTACCAAAAATACCTAATTTTAAGTGACATGAATAAAGCACATCACAGTAATGTAAAATAACACAAGATTCATGTAAAGACAGTGTTCGTTTAATTAGTGAACTGTATCAAAATATATATTTCTCACGATTATTGCTTTACAACTCATTAAACAATTTTTAATAATTTGGTAAAAATATCTATATATATATTATTTAGGAGACTTATTACTTGAAAGTACTAATATTTCAACAATATATATTTTTTACATGATTATTAGGGTAAAATGGTCAACAATGACAATATTCAGGCATTTTAAAAGTAACAATGAAGCTGGGTTAACAACAACAACAATGTACATTAATGCACAGTTTAAAGCATGATGCCATAAAACTATCCAAACATTATACACTAACAATTGTTCAAAACAGTTTCCACAAGTTACAAGTTGGACTTCCCTGATTGAGTGGGTGAATGATGGTTCTTCCATTTCTTACAGGGTTTGGTATTGTGTAAAATGTTTGTTACTACACATTATTTTCATTACTTTACACTACTGGAGATGCACTGGCCAGCACACTCAATGTTTTATTATAAATAGTTTTCATATTATCAATAATACAGAAATTTAATGCATGCAATGCAGTATTAAATTCCAAGAATTTTGGAATGGGAGTATGTCTTGAAAATAATTCCATTACGGACTCATTATTACATTTTTCTTTCTATAATAAAAATTGTGATGTACCAAATGTCAAATAATACACCTTAAAAACTGTTTTATAACCAAGTAGAATAAAAAATACCTAAAGCTAGCAAGAGGAAACATCATGAAATTAATCTTACTTTATAAATGTTTAAAAAAAATAACATTTGCATTTAAAATCCTTAAAATCTTTACTACTTTGTGTACAATTTATGTATCTCTTGATGTACTTAAAAGAACAATTCCATCACCTTACATGAATAACTTGATAAGCATAAAAAAACAGTTCTTTCCCTACAAAACTAACATACAGAGCTGTATCAACAACCGACTCTGAAATGTATTTAAATATTTTAATTCCTTAAGTCCATGATAGTGTTTGTTTGTTATTAAGCACAAAGCTACTCGCTGGGCTATCTGTACTGTGCCCATCACGAGTATTAAAACCTGGTTGTTAGCAATAATAAGCCTTCAGACTTACTGCTGAGCTACTGGGAGACAACAGATAATGTAAATAGTTAAGACAAATTTTATAAATGTTTCTTCCGAAGGCACAGCATATCTTTAAAATGGATAAAATATAACAAACTACACAGAACACTCCTAATATTAACCAAGAAAGCACCCAGTCCAGTAGTTCATAATGACATGATTTCCAGAACCCAGTAGAACCAGAAGGAAGTCAGAAATGGATATTCAATTTGAAATATTGAAATTACACTAACTTAAAACTGCAAGAGGCAATTTTCTATAGACATATAAAGTATAGTAACAATATGAAGAACGAATAAGGTTACTCATTTAAATGTTTGCCTCAGTGCAAAAACTTTGAAATCCACAATTTCAAAATGGGAATATGTGTTTTTAAAGTTATGTTTTCAAAAAAGGAAGGGTATCTTGATTGTAATTAAAAGATGTTGATTCTGGAAATGTTTACAGCATAAAAAAGTATTAGAAGCTAATAAGAAATTATACATTAAATACAGGATCCTAGTCCCCAAACCTGAGTGGGTCAAAGTGACTTCCATTTTATGAACTACACAAGTAATACTGAGAGAAAAAGCATTTCGTTATATTGTGCCGAACCTTAACAATGTATACAGTGAATGAACCAAAAATATGTTACATACATAATTAAGCACCTTGAAAATAAATGTGGTTACTGACAGAGTTTTCAATTTTAAAAATAAACAGTGGAGAGAGAGAGAGAGTTGTACGTGCCAAGTAAAAAATAAACCAAATACATGCCATGCAGTTCATGAAATACGAATATGTTACATACACATTTCAGACATAACTATGCTACACAATTTATGGAACCTGAATACATACTATGCAATATGGTACATACACTTTTCAGACATAACTATGCTACACAGTTTATGGAACCTGAATACATACTATGCAATATGGTACATACACATTTCAGACCTGACTATGCTACACAGTTTATGGAACCTGAATACATACTATGCAATATGTTACATACACTTTTCAGACCTGACTATGCTACACAATTTATGGAACCTGAATACATACTATGCAATATGGTACATACACTTTTCAGACATAACTATGCTACACAGTTTATGGAACCTGAATACATTATATACACATTTCAGACTTGAATACATGCCATGCAGGTTACAGACTCTGAATATTTTATGTGTATAGTTTGTATCTATGTGAAATGTGCCACATACCTGGTTTACAGAACCTGAATATGCCTTAGAATTAAATTACAAAACTTGAATATGCTACACGAGGTTTAGACCTTACTGCAGTTTGGACCTAAATACACCATATAATTAGCTTATAAAATCAGAATGTGCTACACATGTAGTTATGTTTGAAACGTTTATATTCTACTGAGACGAGATACAAGTGTCTGAAACGTTTACATTCTACTGAGACGAGATACAAGTGCGTGTCTGAAACGTTTACATTCTACTGAGACGAGATACAAGTGCGTGTCTGAAACGTTTACATTCTACTGAGACAAGATACAAGTGTGTTTGAAATGTTTACATTCTACTGAGAGTATGTGGTTGAAATGTTTAAATTCTACTTTTTAACTTGGCTAACCTTCAGTCACATTAGTAACTGAAATCTTCAGCTACCTGCAAAATTTTGTACCGGAAAGTGCATAAAAAATATAGAATTGTCAAAATAGACCATTCTTCTTAACTTATCTAGCCTGTAACTTCTAACTTTATATTAAGATAGCCATATACCAGTCAACAAACTTGTATATGTTTACATTATCTGCTGTTACTGAACTTAACGTAAACATACCAAAGATCATTTACACAATTTTCTTATATACACACACATATATCTATACCGTTTATACATAATCAACCAAAATGTATAAAGACAAGTAGAAATATTATTTTCCATAACAAGAATGTTTGTTGGCTCTTAGCTGAGAGTTCTTTTTGGCAGCATACAGCCAATATTCAAATCTGTTAGATAACCTGACATAACATAATATATTTTAACCTATATAACTTTTCACAAATAGCAGTTCCATTGCAACAATACTAGTTCTGCTTGTGCTAAAAACTTTTTCATTGTCTTTTTTAACTACTCCAGAGAATATCTTGGACCCTTGTCCTCAATTTATTGGCTAAAGGTTTCTTAATTTGTATGGCATATTATGCTTTACTATTAAGAATTGACTCAAACAAAATTATAAATTCTTTGTCAACAATTAAATCCAACATAGAAATGACAAAAATGGATGTAAAAACAACAACAAGTTGTAACTAGTTAAACACAACATCAATATTCAACTTGGCTTGGAGATTTCAGTAAAAATGTTTTTTAATAATATTTTGTTAAACAATTATTAGTAAATCTTATTCTAATTTATTCCTAGTTTACCTATTTTATAATAAACTTCAGTAACAGCTAACAATGTTTTGAGCCTACTTTTTAAAATTATTTGACTCAAACTGCTTTAACATATTTGAATATCTATCTATATAAATGTCAGCACATATACATACGAAAACAAAAAACACAAATGAAACAAATAGGCTGGATGTTTATTTACCAAATTACTATATTATATTTTAAGTTCTAGTCAGAGCTTAAAAAATTCAGGATATTATAGAAAACCACTCTTTACTTTACTTAGAGCTGCCGTTTCTAACCTTGACATTCAGAATAGTCAACAAAATATCAGCCATTGTCAAACCGTGCACAAAAAAAGACGTTATTTTTACATAACAAGTCATGTGTTAGGATAATTAAGACTACTAGAAACCCTAAGAAAAAAACGTTTTCACCAAACCCCCCCAAAAAAACCACAAACAAATACACTAATAAACAGGTATGCTATACTAAATATGAGTCATAATACTGTATACAATAGTTAAAATTAATCCACACTGTTTGGAACTTTGGCAGGAAGATTTCGAAACTAGTTTCTTCACGTTCAGGTATCCTTCTCAGTCGGACATGTTTCACAGAGAAAGAAAAGTTCATGCCAGCTAGCATGATGAAATTTGATCCCATATTTATTGTATTTCTCAACACATGCATTCTACAAAAAATACTGAATCAAATTTCCCCACACATTATATGCTGGAACATACCTCTCGGTGAGACACCATCTGACCAGGGAAGACACACGAAACTAATATTGGACTCTTTGGGTCAAAGTTCTAAAAAGTATGCATGCTAAAGTTATTTTCTATTTTATATATACATGATGATGATGCAAACCAAAATATTTGATAAAATTTCCAAAAGCATTAACATGAAACAATTCAATTCAGTCAGGAAGGTGTGTACAGCAACTTACTGCCTGAAACATACAAAATAAACATCATGGACCCAACACACGTGTGTTTGCATTACCTTATAAAGTTGGCACATTTCCAGAACCAAGATGACAGGATAAGTTTCTCTAGAAAAAAAAATGTTGTGTTTGTGCTAACATGACAACTTGCCAAAATGTTTTCATTCTGCCCAATCACACCATATGCTGACACTAGCAGCTACAAGGTATAAAAGAACCCATTACACTGTCTCACTAACAATGCTAAGAGGTCAGCTGGCTTGTACTCTTTGATAGTGATGGAGGAGAAGGCACATTAAAAGGCATGATGTGTTGACCATTCAAAAAGTGGGAAGGCACAGGATGGACAGCTGACAACAGTGAATAAACACTCTCTTTCTTGCTGAGGTTTTCAAAAAATGGAATAAGATCACGTAACTCCGTATCTGAAAAGTCATCAAACCACGATGCTACTGCTACCTAGTAGTAAAGGATACAAATAAAACACTTTATTATATCGGAGGCACACACACAACATTACAGTGAGCGAATGAAAAAAATTAACTGAAACGTTACTATTCACAACTCTACTAAAACTTGGTCTTCAGAAAAAGTCTCATGTACTTCAGAGAACTAGAAAAGTAACATTCCATTAGCACGTACAATAAACCTGACTGTCATAAATTAGGATACATACAACCTAACCTTTTGTTAACTGATTCTGAGCTCTTTTTTTTTCATGTCTACTTAGTTTGAAATATTTATCAACTTTTCAACCTTGTGACTCACATATTACTTCATGTTTATTGTAACTTTTTTGTACTTAATTGATTTGAGTTTTAGAAGCTTATGATCCTTCCAGGAGCAGTAGCTTACACTTTTATTATCAGAATAATTAGGTTTCAACTACTGAAAGCTTGTTTTGGTTTTGCAATCCTCTCATTTTTTATATTAAATAAAGTTTCATCTCATGTAAAGATTAACAAACAGTTACACGAAAAATTCAGTTTAATAATATTAAAAAAAACACTTTTTTTTTTTCTATTAAACAGACACCAAAACCATTAACAATCTTTGAATATGTATTTTTGTACAGTAGAATACAGCATCCAAAACAATAAATAAATCATTTCTAGCATGCTTGGTGTATGTTTAATATATATCTACTCTTGTTATTTTTAATTTTTTATTATTATACATGGAATACTGAAACAATAGAGATCAACAATCAACTAATCTACTATTATTTTACATTCAGTAACCATAACACCCTACACAACAAAATCCAGAGGCAACAACCATATTCATATACTTACAGCATTGTCTGGATGGAAGGAATAAGATGCTGGAGAATTATCAACTATGACAACTCTCTGAAGGTCTCGGCCTAATCTCCCAAGGTCCTGAAATTTAGAAAAACAGTCTTAAATTCCACCACACTACAAACAATCAGGTCGGGAAGAAAACAGTCTTAAATTTCACCACACTACAAAC